TCACCCAGCTTTCCTTCATGTATATTTGTCAAAACTAAGAAATTCACACTGGTATAATACTGGTATAATATAAATGCACACTGGTATAATACTGATATAATATAAACTCCCTCTGGTATAATACTGATATAAATTCACACTGGTATAATATAATATAATATAATATAATATAATATAATAGCGCAACTATAAACTCTAATCGGATTTTTTTCAATTTTTCATGAATGTCCTTTTTCTGTTCCAGGACACCACTCTGCATTTTGTCATCATGTCTTAGCCATCCAATCTGTGATCATTTCTTAGTCTTCCCTTGTTTATCATGACCTTAAGGGCTTTGAAGAATACTCGTCAGGTGGTAAATTCCCTCTCACTTGGGTTTATCTCATGTTTTCTTTTTTTTTTTTTTTGGGGGGACGGAGTTTCGCTCTCGTTACCCAGGCTGGAGTGCAATGGCGTGATCTCGGCTCACCGCAACCTCCGCCTCCTGGGTTCAGGCAATTCTCCTGCCTCAGCCTCCTGAGTAGCTGGGATTACAGGCACGCACCACCATGCCCAGCTAATGTTTTGTATTTTTAGTAGAGACGGACTTTCACCGTGTTGACCAGGATGGTCTCGATCTCTTGACCTCGTGATCCACCCGCCTCGGCCTCCCAAAGTGCTGGGATTACAGGCTTGAGCCACCGCGCCCGGCCTTATCTCATGTTTTCTTATAATTCAATGGATTTGAAGAATACCACAGACAGGAAGTGCCCTTCTCATGAGATCATATCAGCAGGTGCATGATAGCAACATGACTTATGAGCAGTGATGTTAAACTTCATCATTTGGTTAACAAGGTGTCTGCCGGGTTTCTTTCCTATAAAGTTACTATTTTCCCTTTCCATACTCTACTCTTTGGAAACGAGTCACTAAATCCAGTCCAGTCTCAAAGAGAGTGAATTTAAGCTCGGCCTCCTGGAGGGGAAAGTATCTACATATGGTATTTGGAATTCATCTATAGAGGAGATTTTTCTCTTCTCCTTTACTAATTTGTTGACTCATTTGTAATGAAGACATCTTTTAAAGATAAAAAAAAAAACAGTGTATGGGGGCCGGGCGCGGTGGCTTAAGCCTGTAATCCCAGCACTTTGGGAGGCCGAGGCGGGTGGATCACGAGGTCAAGAGATCGAGACCATCCTGGTCAACATGGTGAAACCCCGTCTCTACTAAAAATACAAAAAAAATTAGCTGGGCATGGTGGTGCATGCCTGTAATCCCAGCTACTCAGGAGGCTGAGGCAGGAGAATTGCCTGAACCCGGGAGGCGGAGGTTGCGGTGAGCCGAGATCGCGCCATTGCACTCCAGCCTGGGTAACATGAGTGAAACTCCGTCTCAAAAAAAAAAAAAACAGTGTATTTATTTGTATGTTGATGGAAATGATCCAATAGAGGGCAAAATATTGTGAGTTTCTTTAGTTTCTACAGCAAGTGTTGAAAATTTTTTTCACTATTAGCATTGCACCAGGCCTTTCCCCATGTCTTTTACAAATTCGCTTCTTGGCCAGGCATGATGGTTCACACCTGCAACCTCAGCACAGGAGGCCGAGGCAGGAGGAGAACTGAAAGTCGGGAGATCAAGCCCAGCCTGGGCAACATAGCAAGACTCTCCAGGAAAATTTATAAAAATAAAACAAAACAAAAAACAACATTTTCTTTTACCCACAATTCGGCTTCCTTAGGCCCTGCAGGAGGTCAGCTGTTGATGTCAGGGCAGATGCTTCACAGCTGGCTGGTGGAACTAGGCTTCAGGTCTGGTGATCTGGCAGAAGGCCTTGGTACCTGGTGGCAGGGGACACCTCTTTCCTCTGCACTCGCTCTTCACACCTCCTCAGCTCCCCAGCCACTCACAGGAGCTCAGTGCAGGCCGGGGAAAGGTCTATGTTTTACTTTGGGTAGGAAAGAGCCAGGTGTCTCTCATGGGGAGCTGGTGAAGCTATAGGCCTCTGGAGGAGACTGGAGGGGCTCAAGGTCCTTGGGGGATAATTCAATGGGAAAGAAGCAACAGATTGAGTTTCTTGGCTCCAACTCAGAATCCAGAAAAGTGGGCCTTGTGTTTCTTCTGTCCCTTTGTTGGGAGGCTGGAACTCTGAGGACAATGGTCATGGCCACAAGCCCAGCTGGGGGCCCAGGGGAGACATGTCTGAGCACCCCAGGATGTGTGATGAGACATTCATAACCTTAGAGACCCAGGTTAGAAATTCAATGTTGGAAGCAGCAGCCCGGGAGAGGCTCAGGACAGATCCTGGATGGAATTTTGACCTCTGCCAGTGGCTTACCTCCCTGCTCCCGTCCTCACCCTCCCCATCCCCACCACACAGAGACCACTAATCTGACCTCCAGCTGGGGAGCTCCCCACCCACGTGCCTGGGCCCTACAGGATGTGGGAGTGGTGGAGAGCGAGTGATGGTGACAAAGGTGACATCTCCTGGGCAGCAGAAATTGTCTCCAGGCATGCATTTTGCAGAGGCTAGCAGGATGGTGTCAACATAGATGTGTGTATTTGTATATGAATCAATCCACACCCTGCAGTGACACCAGAAAAAACTGTCACCATTGAAAGGAAGTGGTAAATTCCCTCTCATTCAGAGAATATCTTTCTCTTCTCAACCAGCTGCCCACGGGTTTCTCATCAAGATAGTAATTCATTGTACAGGGAAGGGATCTCACCATGTGGAAATTCCCACTTCCTCGGAGAACAGTGTGCACAGTGTTAACCTTGGTAAGTAAGAATTCCCCTCCCCTCACACCCCCGATGGCAGCTTTCCTCTCGGAAGCCTGCGGTCACCCTCAGTCTTATCCAAACCTGAAAAATGACCTGCGGCAAACCTGCCAAGCACCAACAACCCAAGCCATTGGAGCAGATAGTGTCATTTTTTTGGTCTGCCCAGCAACCAAATAGCACTTCAGTTTTCCTTTCGGGGGAAGCAGCTCTTCTCCCCTCTTTTCACGTGATTCTGGTAGGGGAGGGAGTACACGACCCAAGCCTAGCCATCACAGAGGTACATCTCTCTGGCCACAGGGAAGGACACATAGCCCAGGCTGGGCCAGTCAGTTACCTCTGACCAACACTGCTAGACTGCAGTGCAGGGCAGAGCCTGTCTGAGGATAGAAAACTAAGAGATGTACAGAGGCCTGAAAGCAACCCCAGAGCTCCTGGGTCCAGCTGGTCTTTTTAGTTATAAGCAACTTATAACCTACCTTCCTTATTTCCTTCCTTCCTTCTTTCCTTCTTTCCTTCCTTCCTTCCTTCCTTCGTTGCTTCTTCTATTAAATGAAATTTATAGGAGGTCACTGATTTGGGCTGAGCTCCTGCACGAAGCCCCAGTAGACCAAACCAAGATGGAGTCACTCTTGCTAAGTTCCATATCACCAAGCTAAAACTAAGTCATCAGACCTTCCCAAAACTGAAGACAGAGAGAGATAATAAACAAATCCCCAAACAGGCCAGTTGTAGCCAGCAAGGTAAGGAAGTCCCCTCTGCTTTAACCCTTATAAGGAAAGTAACCTGCAGTAACGTGATCTCATCAACCTGCTTTTTCTTCCCTGTGTCTGCTTTCTTCACCCTTTTCTGCCTATAAAGCCAAGCTCCTCTGTTCTGCTCATCAGAACACTTTTCCTAAAGTTTGTGAGGAGATGCTGCCCCAATTCATGAATTACAAATCAAAGCCAACTCGATCATTTAACTAAATTTGTTGTAATTTTGCCTTTCGACATTTCGCTCTTTTTCGTTTCTTTCCTCTTTCTTTCTTCCTCCCTGTCCCTGCTTCTCTCTTTCCTACTTATTTTGGCTTAGGCCAGTTAGAGTTTGGCTTTTGTGTCTTGCACTGAAATTTTTCCAAAAACCACCCCAATGGCATTGACACCTCACACGCCTACCTGTCCCCCAACGTTGGTTGAGAAAGGGTTAAGATCTCCATTTTTGAGTTGTCACAAGGGGTCCTGACCCATCCCAATCCACAACCTCTTTTGTCCCATAAAGTGTAAAATAAGAATATCTTTTTAAAATTGAATACATGTATTTTTCTATTATACACATCATACAAATATTTAATTTCAAATGAGAGAAAGGAGAAAAATTAGTCATAGTCCAGCAACTATGCTTTTAGCTTTTTTTTTTTTTTTTTTAGTTTAACGTATTTTTTTTTTTTTTTTTTTTTTTTGGATACGTAGTTTCGCTCTTGTTACCCAGGCTGGAGTGCAATGGCGCGATCTCGGCTCACCGCAACCTCTGCCTCCTGGGTTCAAGCAATTCTCCTGCCTCAGCCTCCTGAGTAGCTGGGATTACAAGCACGGGCCACCAGGCCCAGCTAATTTTTTGTAGTTTTAGTAGAGACGGGGTTTCACCATGTTGACCAGGATGGTCTCGATCTCTTGACCTCGTGATCCACCCGCCTCGGCCTCCCAAAGTGCTGGGATTACAAGCGTGAGCCACCGCGCCCGGCAGTTTAATGTATTTTAATAGCAAACTTACAGGAACAGCACAGAAGACAGACAACATTAAAAACATGTACTTTCATGTAGGACCACTCAGTTAGAAAAGTATAGTGAATGGATGGAATCTACTGTATGATAAAATGCTACAAACACCATTTAGTTGCCGTCAATAAGAAATTTACTTGTTTTAAAAAAATCCAAATGCTGGCCTTGTCCAGAAAAATTTAACAGATTTATTTATAATTATTATAAAGTTGAACCGCTGAAACTTGTTCACTGAAACATTTTAACTAGTATTAATGCTTTACGTCTCCACATTTATATTAAAAATTCACACACAAATGAAAATGGAAAAACTGCCAATACCTGATTTCTGTCCCCTATTTTTCCACTCGCAATCATATACTTAGGTACCTTTTGACCCCACGGAAAAAAAATTATCTAACATTCAGAACTACCAGTAAGAGGAAGAAGAGAATTTTTTTTTTTTTTGAGAACGAAATGTTTCCCATCATAGTGGATTCTTCACTCTCTCCACGTACGCGGCGTGCTAGCTGGATGTCTTTTTGCATAATTGTTACACGTTTGGCATGGATAGCACAAAGGTTGGTGTCTTCAAAAAAGGCCAACCAGATATACCTCGCTTGCCTCCTGCAAAGCACCAATAGCTGCGCTCTGGAAGCGCACATCTGTTTTAAAGTCCTGAGCAATTTCTCGCACCAGACGCTGGAAGGGAAGTTTGCAAATCAGAAGTTCAGTGGGCTTCTGATAACGTCTCATTTCACGGAGTGCCACAGTACCGGGCCTGTATCGATGAGGTTTCTTCACCCCTCCAGTAGAGGACTCACTCTTGTGAGCGGCTTTTGTAGCCACTTGCTTCCTGGGTGCTTTACCACGGGTAGATTTGCGGGCAGTCTGCTTTGTACAAGCCATGGTATAGAGACCTCCTTACTTACCCCCCTTTGGCTGGAGCTCGGCAAGCGAGAGGCAGTGCTGGCATTGGAGAGCGACGGCCAGCTTATTTTATTAATAGCTTATGTCTTTACAAGTATTTCCCCATGCATTTATATAGCCGCAGGCTTCAGGCATACAAAGTGTACACTGCTGTGATCATCGTGACCATCAGCAAGCAGGCGTTGTCATCAGCACTTCTTTCTGTGGTTTCTCAGTCTCTTTTCTTTTCTTTCTTTTTCTTTAAAACAATTTTATTTTCCCCTGGTCAACAGGACCTGAGCAACATGGTAAGATTCTGTCTCTTAAAAAAAAAAGAAAGAAAGAAAAGAAAAAAAAAAAAATTAGCCAGGTGTGTGGTGCGCGCCTGTGCTCCCAGCTACTTGAGAGGCTGAGACAGGACCGCTTGAGCACAGGAAGTCAAGGCTGCAGTGGGCCATGTAAAATAAAAAATAAAAATGAAAACTAAAAAAGAGAAAAGAATAAATTTAATTTTTTGTAGATATACTATGTTGCTTAGACTGGTCTCAAATTCCTGGCCTTAAGCGCTCCTCCTGCCTCAGCCTCCCAAAGCACTAGGATTATAGGGATGAACCACATCCAGCCCAAAGTCTCCATTTTCCACGGCTTTTCTTAGTGTAGGTGGAGTTGTGAGACGGGAAATTATGTCAGTCACCTACAACAATGTCAACACACCTGCTAGGTGGGAGCTCTTCCATCACCTGGAGTTTTATGCTGAGGCCTGGGTCCCGTGCCCAGAGATTCTGTCTCAGTCGTTCCGGGGTGGTTTCTGATGAGCCTTTCCGAGAGGCTCCGGGTGAAACCCACGCTGGCAGGTGTGTAGGAATGCTTTTGCTATCTAGATGATAAGCATATTCAAGTTTGAGAAGCTAAGATATAGATAAGTCCGGACTTTCAGTTTAGTTAAGTCATTTACCAAACACTGATTCATGCACCTGTGGTTTTCAGAAGCATACATTTCTCTTGGGGACCAAGTTTCCGAAGGGGACATGGCCCACAGTTTCGAGTCTAAAGCCCTTGGGAACTGCCAACTTCACATAACCTAAATGAGGAAAACATTAGGGAAGGGTTTCTATTACTGTCGTCTCCTAATCTCCCTTCAGATGGCTCAAGGTTAAGGGCAGGCTGGGGGGAGCTGGATCCTTTGGTGCAGTTTCAAAGTTCTCAAGTGCTGGGGACTATGTTAGAGGATGCAGTGATGAATAACCCAGAACACGGTCCCTGCCCTCTAGAAGCCAATGACCAGTGGGAAGATGATTACAAAGTAACTGCTACACAGCTGGGAAATAGCTGGGCAGAGAAAGGCACAGGGTGGCCTGGGAGCAAAGAAGAGGCACCTAGCCAGCCTTCGGCAACCAGGGGATACAGCCTGGAAGCAGAGGAAGGGAGGGTCAGCCACATGGAGGAAGGTGGGAAGGGCATCCCTGGCAAAGAGAACAGCAAAGGCAAAGGCAGAGGCAAGGGGGTACAAAACATTATGGCGCCCTTAGGTGTGGAACGGTGAGCAATGGAGCGGGAAGGCAAGGTGGGGCCAGGCCCACACACCTGCAATTGAACAGGCAGGTGGAGCCTCTGAGATCTCCAGTCCTCAGCCCAACCTGGAGCTGGCTTAGGACCGTTTGAGAATTTTCCACCTGTCCACTAAGCAGAGTGACTCGGCTTCTCAGACTACTTGAGGTGTCACCTCAAAGGCATCACATTTGGTCCATAAATCCCCAAGCCTGGTTTAGGCCTGCACACGCCTAACTGTAACCACACATTTTTCCAAGGGCAAGGACAATGTGTTGGTTAAGTTGCTAGTAGCAGACATATTTAGCAGTGGTTTACATGAAACACAGGCATATTTTCACCGGGAAACAGAACAGGATGCATACAGTGGTCCTGTGGTCAAGGTTCAGCATGTCCAGCGTTCTAATCCACCACCCTTCGCTGCCTTGCTATGCAGAGTGGGACCACGGTCCAGAGGCAGGTGCCTCACTGGGTGCTTGTTAGAAACACAGAATGAGCTCTACTCCAGACCTACTGAGCCATGGCCTGCATTTTAACAAATCCTCAAGTGATTTATTTGCAAGCTGGTAGTTGAACAAGTTGGCCTTATTACTGGTTGCAATGAGGAAGACACCATGGGGGAACCATTTCTGTTAAAAGGTGTTCGAAAGGACTTACAGGCGTTGGGCTTTGGTTAGGTGAATTGGGGGAGGGTCTAGGAGGGAAGGGATCGCTCTGCATTGTCTGCTCTCTGGAAATGGGACAATTCTGTGGCTGGATATGTTAGTAAATCTTATCTATAAGGACAGCAGACAGGATCAAGGCTGTAGTTGGAGTTGATAAGCTGCTGTCACTTAATGAACCAGGTGGGGATGTGTTTAGTGTTTTGTGGGGATTTTTTTGTATGTGCTTAGACAGAGTTATGAAGGGGTCCCTTGACCTCTTCATTCACAGTTGCAGAGTGGCAACTGATGTCGGTGTCTGTGAGAATATCCAGGCAAGTTTTAATAAGATTAAGCCCTAGCTCAAAGTGTCAGGCCGTTTCCTGGATGTCAGGGGATACTTTTTCTTTTCTCAGCATTAAAGGTTGAGAGTTGATGTTTTAGTTTGTGGCTTCCTTTTTCAAGGCTGCCTCATGGCCCAATATGGTTGCTAGAACTCCAGCCATTTCATTAGTGTTTCATGGTTAGGAAAGAGGGTGGGGAGGGTGAACAGCACATTTCTTAGATCCCTTTAAGAAGCTTTTAAGGCCAGGTCTAGTGGCTCAAGCCTGTAATCCCAGCACTTTGGGAGGCTGAGGTGGGAGTTCCAGAGACATTTGAACCACAGGAACTCTATCTTGAGTGGGGGCTGGGTAAAATAAGGCTGAGTCCTAGCTACTAGGCTGCATTGCCAGGAGGTTAGGCATCGTAAGTCACAGGATGGCACAAGATACAGGTCACAAAGACCTTGCTGATAAAACAGGCTACTATAAAGAACCTGGCTAAAACCCACCAAAACCAGGATAACAGGAGTGATATCTGGTGGTCCTCATTGCTCATTATATGATAATTATAATGTTTTAGCTTGCTAAAAGACACTCTCATCAGCACCATGACAGTTTACAGATGCCATGGCAACATCTAGAAGTTACCCTATATGGTCTAAAAATGGGAGGAACCCTCAGCTCTGGGAATTGCCCACCCCTTCTCTGTAAAACTCATGAATAATCCACCCTTGTTTGGCATATAATCAACAGATAACCATAAAAATGGGCAACCAGCAGCCCTGGAAGCTGCTCTGCCTATGGAGCAGCCATTCTTTTATTCCTTTACTTTCCTAGTAAACTTGCTTTCACTTTACAGATTCATCTCAAAGTCTTTCTTGTGTGAGATCCAAGAACCTTCTCTTGGGGTCTGGATCAGCACCCCTTTCCAGTAACAGGAGGATAACTTGAGCCCAGGAGTTCAAAATCAGCCTGGGCAACATGGCAAGACCCCATATCTACCAAATAAATAAATAAATAAATTAGCCAGGTGCGGCGGCACACACCTTTGGTTGCAGCTACTCAAGAGGCTGAGATGGGAGGATCACCTGAGCCCAGGAGATGAGGGCTGCACTGAGCCCGTAAACCAAAAATAAAACTCTAAGGCCCCCCAGTCATCTGAGTGGACCCTTCCTCTCAGCCAAGGGCATTCCAAAGTTAACCTGAACAACTAGTTCAGGCCATGATGGGAAGGGGGAGTCAGACATGCCTCCTTCTACCCTTCTCCCTCATCAGAACCCAGACATTCTTTTCTATTGATAATAATTCTTTCAACCAATTGCCAATCAGAAAAATCTTTGAAGCCACCTATAACTTGGAAGTCCCAGCTTTCAGTTGTCCCACCTTTCCAGACCAAACCAATGTACATCTTGCACATACTGATTGATGCCTGGTGCTTCCTAAAATGTATAAAACCAAGCTGGGCACCAACCACCTTGGGTGCATGCTGTCAGGATCTCCTGAGGCTAAGGATGTGCCCTTCACCTTGGCAAAACAAACTTTCTACATTGATTGAGACCTGTCTTTGACACTTTTGATTTTACAGCCGTGATCCTGCTACTGTATTCCAGCCTGGATGACAAAGTGAGACTCTGTCTCAAAAAAAAGAGAGATGCTTTTAGGACCCCAGCCCCAACAATTTTCATTTATACTTCATTGGCTGTCCTGAGTTTCAAGAGACTTGGGAATTACAGTCTTTTACTTGGATGTATTGCTGACCACCACCCCACACCCCGTTCCAAATCAAGTACTTTGGTAAAGCAGAAAGAGAAATTGGGAATTGGTAGGTGACTGACAGTCTGTCTCAAACAGGGAAGCCAGGGCTCAGGAGTGGGGAGATTCCAGGCCTGGAGGGTGGAGATTTTATCTTCTCTTATCAGTGCTTAACATTCCTGCAGCCAGACTTGTCCTGAGCGTTCCTGATAAAAAAGAAACAACCTCTCTGCACCATCTGTAAGAAATTTTGATAAGGCAGAATTCCCGTCTCTGTTTTTTTATCCAGCTGGCTGGGAAAGCAGGAGTGAAATGTAAGTCGGAATGGCCCCTAAGGCCACAGCCACAGCGAGAGAACGGTAGGGATAAAAAAGGAGATCGGTCTGCCCTACAGGAAGGTTTTATCCTATCTTTAGGGAGGGTGAATGATCCTTAAAGCAAGACAGTCAGAGCTAGTAAGAAGGAAGCCTAGCTTCCCTTTTCATTCCACAAACCAGCGCAACGGGGGAAAAATGAGTTTCGGACACCTTGTGACCTGCTGCAGTGCTGAGGCGCCCTTGGAAAGGGTGGTGGGTGTCTCAGCATATGTTATCCTTACATCACCTTCCACGTACACACCCCATCCTCTGCTCCAGTTCTGGATCCCCTTTCAACCCCATGATAATCCCTTTCTGCAGAAAGGGAAACCGAGGCTTAGCAAGGGTTAAGCAACTTGCTCAAGATCACCCCGCTTCTAAAGAACAGAGCCAAGCTTTCCACCCGGTCTGAGCCGTCC